GCCGGGAGCGGAGGGCCGGGTCGCGAGGGGGATGAAGACGGAGTTCCCGAACAAGTCGGAAGCCGCTCACAACACCGGGCGCCGCGCGGCAGGGCTGTGGACGGGGCAATAGCTGTGGACCTGGGGTGTTTTCGTGCCCCTGTCTTAGGAAACGACGCGTGAGGCACCGTGCCGAGGCGTAGAGGTCACCCTCGGGAGGTTTCGGTGAAACCTGGTGGGAAATTCCGGGCAGGCGCCCGGAGTCGCGTCCGAAGAGGCAGCTCCTGGCAGCCAGACTTGTGTTCGGGGGAGTTGAGACGAGCTGCACGGGTGGGATTGCACGGCTCTGCCCTCCTAGCGTCCACAACTCGCAGCGACCGCCCGGGGAAGCGCGAGCTTCCTGGCTCCAGAAGTGATGATGCTGGGTGGAAGCCGCAGCATGTAAACAGTTGCCGGTTGTTATGGGATTAAAAAAAGATATATCTGCAATGGCTAAAGGGTAAGGTCTTGAAAGACAAGAGCGCTGAGTTAGTACTGATTACTGAGAGGCAATTTAGTTTCATGGAAATGTTGCTTGTTCGGAGGCTACCTGTTATACACTCTCCTGTTTCACCCCAACTCCTTCCTTTCAGTGTCGGGTTAAAAGCCTTGTAATCTCTTGCAGTGGAATGATTGCATAATTGGAGGAGGGGCCCGTAAGAGGATTACAACAAAACTGTTTCATTGTAAATCAATTGAAAGACCCAGTTCTTGTTCATTATCCTTTTTCTCATTTTGTTGTTCATGAAGGTTTTTTTTTTACCCCCCAGTGGTGAATGACAAATCAAGGAGAAAAGAGGCAGAATAGGGTTGTAGACTAATCGTAGTAAATATTTGATACTGTTAAATATTTCACCAGTTTTATGGGGCCTTGTACTGTTACCATTTGTTATTTATTTACTAGTACTGTGCATTTTGATAGGACTTTTCGTGTTTGGACATTGTATTCTAGATATGGCTTATGTGATCTAATCCTAAAGCCCTTGTGGAATTTACAGAAATAAACAGTTATACAGTTAAGTAGTCCATTTTTTAACTATTGAAGGAAAAGCCTTTCATTTTTTTCCATTACAGTAATGTTATATATTAATGTATACCTTTGTGAACCAAAGTGTTTAATATAACTCTTCCTTCCGTGTTTGGCAGACAACTCATCTGTGGTATTGAATACTTGTAACCTTTCACCAGGATGGCCATTTAATGTTTAGCTGCTTTGTGGGTTTTCTGAATAGATCTTATTGTACTTTTTGAATTAGTGTAATTATCCATATGCTTCCTTTAATATTCTTTACCTTTGATTTTGTGTAAACCCTCATCCTCTCCCAACACACACATCCTCTGCAAATAATTTTTAAAATGGAAATGTTCTTAGAAATCTGTTTCACCCCCTCATTTTTTAAACATGGCAGGAAAAAATACCTTGTAGATTACAGTAGTTTTATATGCATTATAGTAGTTAGTATACTTTTTTCCCCCCTCAGCAGGAGTCAGTGAACAAATTAGTGAGCTGGCTGAATGAAAAATTATTTAATGTTCAGTTCCATCACTTACTGTGCATAAAACCTTGAGTAAAACATTTAACCTATTTGAGCTTATTTTCTCCATTTGTCAGTGGAAATACTGTTAGGTTGAAATTGCTAATATTCTGCTGTTTTTTATGTTTCAACCTAATATGAACTTCATAGTGGTGAGATGAGGATTTAATAAGATACTCCATTAGAGATGTGGGGAAGGGGAGAAGGAACCGATGTGAGCTTGCTTGTGTGCAAGGCACTGTGTGTGCTTGTTTTCCATACCTTGACTCCTCAGTCCTCTGGACATTCCTGGGATATAGGTGACTTGTCAAATTTTACAAATCAGGAAATAGAGGCTTAGAAAGTTGCGATAATTTGTCTGTAGTTACTTAGTTGTAGATACAGCTGGCCAGTGACAGAGCCAGTATTAAAAACTGTATCCAACTGCCCAAAATGGAACTTAGTGCTCTTATTCCTTACATTCCTGGTCTGCACTTTCTATTAAAGAACTTTGTAACTATAAGGAGGCACACAGATGACAAGTGTTACCATTTGTATTTCTGGTTTAAAAATACCCAAGTTTTCTAATGACGGTGATACCAGCCTTGCTACTAGCATACTGTTACTTTTAAGTCTAGTGCTTATCAAGCCAAGTCCTGGTACAAGCTTTATACTAACTCACTTACTCTCACAGTGAGCTAGGAGATAGTACTTTATCCCTATTTTGTAGTTGAGAAAATTGAGACGCTGAGACCTTATGTAGTTTGCTCAAAGTCATATAGTTAATTAAGTGACAGGTCTGGATTAGATGTCAGTTTGTCTTCTGTGTCTGTGCTGTTAACAACTACACTCTGTCATTTCTTCATGTGTAAGTGGTAATGCTGAAGAATTATTTGCTCATAATCACTGCATTATCACTTCTTTGTGTGTAGCTTATAATGCTGAAGAACTGTTTGTAATTTAGCTTTTATGAGATATGTAATATTAATGTAATATGTAATTCTAATGTGTCACCAGAGATTTTTTTTATATCATATACTCAATTGAGCATCTACTCTGCAAGTCACAGTAGGGGTTAAGGGAAACAATTCTTAAGGAATATGGGAGGTAGGGCCTTATAATCATTCCCGTATCTTTTATAAGTTCTTCAAAATGTAGAACACACGTTACATATTTTAATGACTGTCAACTAAGACAAAGTGCTAGGATAGTTGAGTAGTGGAGAGGAAGAACAGATGGGTAGTGGGTAGAGATATTTGTGCATTGAGGTAATGAGGGAAAGCTTTGAAGATATTCCGAGGGAGTACACTTTTTCAAACTAAACTTTTGTCCAATATAATTCTGATTAAGATGCAATTCAACAAAGCATAGTAAATTGGTTACTATGCATTTGATATCCTAAAAACAAAATATATGAGCTTTTGTAAACTGCTTTCTAGCTAGTTTGTCCTTTTTTTGTACTGCTATCCTTAATTGTACCAGGTAGTACTCTTATAAAAAATTTTATGCTTTTGTAATACTGAGTATCTCTTTTTTGGTATTTATGAGCTTTAATATTGTGTTGTATTTGTAACTGTTTCTAGGGACCTAGAAACATGTTTGTTGACAAGGTGGTCTCTTCCTCTAGTCTACAAGGTCTTCGAGAGTAGGGCTTACCTCATTTTATAGCTTTAACGTTGGGCCTGGTAGGTACTGTGCTGTGTTTGGTGATGGATGATCAGTTGAAGAATGTTAGGGTGTATTGAAGCTGATCTAGCAGCAGAAATTGAAATGAACATTGAATGAGAAATGAAGGGACAAAGGAAGGAAGAGGAAGATACTTACACAACTGGGAGCATTAACTTGCTATCTCTATTTTCCCTTCCGCTTTCTTTTTCAACTTACAACTAAATGAGGTAGTTTTATGAGCTTACATCTTATATAGTCTTGGTTAGAGAAAAGTGGAAAAAGTAATCTGATTTATCTTAGAATATAGGCAACATGAAATTAGATAACTATAGCCATAAAGTGATATTACTTACAGGAAAAAGAATGAAAATTATTCAAATAGTTCAAGTTCATGGAAGATTTGATGCTTGTAGTTAACAACAGGATTGTAAATATAAGCATAATGGCAAGTTGATGAAATTCTCCTCAGGGGTACGGATATAAGTGTATGAATTGACAGTTTTTAGTATAAAGAAACTCTATTCAAGAATGTGAGAATGCCCTATAAGCATAAAGGAGCATACAGATGATAGCTTAGAACCACTTAAATAAGTGAATTGTAATTTGATATGCCCAGATAAAAGTAATAGTATTGAATATTTGTTTGGGGGCACCTGGTTGTCAAATAAGGATAAAATATAAAAGAAAAACCAAAATAAGTTTGAAAAAACAATAAGCAAATTTGTATCAGTTCCCTGTGGGGAAAAGAATCATATTTGAACCACATGCCTCAGAAAGACTAGTTTTCCCCTTCTTTCCCTATTATCTAAGATAAATAAAGTTCCTTCTGATTTGTAAGACCCATCTCCTTCAGTATGTTTTTGCTATTTCCCCCCATTACTTTTTTTGTCTTAGATCTTTATAAAATCGTACATTTATGTTGTGCTTTACAACGTGTACAACATTTTTACATTGATGTGCCATTTGATTTTCTCAAATGTAGGCAGGGGAGATAATACCACTACCATTATAGATGTCAAAACTGAAGCTTAGAGAGATTAAATGACTTGTGTCAGTTCGCACAGCTTGTCAGTGACAGAATCTGAACTAGAAGGAAGGTTTTCTGAAATTAGTCTGTTAAAATGCTCAGGTTTTCTCAAACTTCAATTTCTCCAGTTTTGATACTCTCACGGGGTACTTACTGTTTCATTTCTATCTTTTTCAGCAAAAATGTAGCCTGAATAACTGTCTCCACTCTTTACTGCTTTGCTATTCATTCGTTCTCTAAAGACTCTTGTTTATTTATTCAGTCAGTGCATACTTCAGCGCCTATTGAATGTTTAGTTGACATATATTCTTAAGAGGATATATAAAATGAGGCTTCCATTATTGAGAAAAAAAAATTTGGAAAATGGTTTTTTAAAAAAATTATACTTTTAAGTTCTGGGATACATGTGCAGAAGGTGCAGGTTTGTTACATAGGTATATACGTGCCATGGTGGTTTGCTGCACCCATCAACCCGTCATCTACATTAGGTATTTCTCCTAATGCTATCCCTCCCCTAGCCCCCAACTCCCCGACAGACCCGACAGGTGTGATATTCCCCTCCCTGTGTCCATGTGTTCTCATTGTTCAACTCCCACTTATGAGTGAGAACATGCAGTGTTCTGTTAATTTAAACGATTAACAGTTACTCCTGACAGTTACTTGAGGTCAGGAGTTTGAGACAAACCTGGTCAACATGGCAAAACCCTTTCTCTACTAAAAATACAAAAAATTAGCTGGGTGTGGTGACGGGCGCCTGTAATCCCAGCTACTCAGGAGACATATGTTGCAGTGAGCCGAGATTGTGCCACTGCACTCCAGCCTGGGCAACAGAGCATGACTGCATCTCAAAAACAAAAACAAAAACAAAAGTATTGTGGAATTAGTGGGAATTCATTTGTGATCTGTTTTAATAAAAATGGGAAAATTGTGTAGCCTGATTGATCATTTGACTAATTTTGCCCTTGGGCTATTAATTATATTCGCATTTATAGACAGAGAACGCTTCTTAAAAGATAAATGCAATTTTTTTGGTCATAACTAAAATGCTAGTTTGGGAAGCCAACTTTAACATTATTATGAAAGCTAATGAAAAAAATGACTTTATATATATACTTGTTTTGTTTTTTCCTCCTTTATTATACAGTATTGGAATAAATTTTGAACTTCCCTTTTTATTTTGAGAGCATTATAATTACGGAGAGTTTCAAATAAGATAAGTAGACACAATAGTGTAATAAACCTGAAAGTTTC